TATCCGCTTCATCTATATTCCTTGTTTCATTGTCCTTGTCCTTATCCAATTTTTCTTCCAATTCTATCACTTCATTCTCGAGTTTCATGGTTTTATTATTAAAATCCAATACTATATGCTTTTCCGATAATTCGTCTACTCCTACTATCATATCATGCGACATATTTGGCATTATCACACATTGTAGTGAAAAAATTTCTTTTCCAATCGTATCCTAATTCGTATCCCTTTATTTATCGTTGCTAACGTTCGCTTATTCGCGCCCACTAAATTTACCCTAGGTATTTTATAAATTAAATTTGTCAAATTAACTTCTTCTATCAACTTTCTATTTACCAGCGAGATTTCAGAACCCGAATCTATCAAAATTTTTATGGGTGTTTCATTTATAAACCCGTTTACATATTTTAAATTTTATCCATTTTCTTTGTCCTTATGTCCTGCAAGTTTTATAAATTCCTTTGGGTGGCAAAAAATTCCGGTGTTTTTCTTTGTTTTTAGTGAGCGGCTTCGCGAAAATCCTCCTGTTGCCTTTCTGTACTTCTTCTGTCCTCGCATTGTCTCTCTTCCCCGTTTTCTTCTAATTGTGTGTTATTTACCTCTCTTCTCACTCCTGGCCTTTCGGCGTTGTATCTGATGTCCCGATATCCTTGTTTATTTGTCCTCCTGTAATTGTTATTTTTTTATAGTCTATGTATGTATTTCTATTGTGGTTTTCTCTGTATCTGTCTCGGTTTCCTTGCTGGTATCTGGATTCGTATCTCTATCTCTCCTGTTTTCTCTATTTTCGTATTCTCTTCTCGGGATAAATTCTCTTTTAGGTCGGTTTTGACGATAATTTTGTCTCCTATCTCTGTTTTCCTGCATTTCTTGTGGTTTTCTAGTTTTTCTGTCTCGTAAATTTGATTATCTTATTTGTAAAAATTGACAGAGACTATCAATGTCTTTGTAATTTTGCAAAGTGATGTGGTCTTCTAATGTTTCCTCAAACTGTCTAGCAATCAATTCTACCAATTGTTCCGATTAATAATGGTAGTCTAAATGTTTGGCGTTGTTGTAGATCTGTAAAGCATACGATCTTTCTGATACTCCCAACTTTTCATTATATTTTCCGTTTTGCAGTTCTTTGTTGATCTCCCATTGCTGTATTTCGCCCCAGAAATAGTTCAAAAATCTTTTCTCAAAGTTTTCCCAATTGGTAAATTCCTCTTCTTTACTGTCAAATCATAAACTCGCCTCATCTTTAAGACGGTTCCTTATCGTTTCTTTGGCTGTTTCGAAGTTACCGATGTACCGCACTTTCTTTTTTAAATTCTTTATAAAAAATTACTGGGTGTAATTTTTTTCCGTCCCCGCCAAACCTTATTTTCACCTCATCTGTACTATGGATAAGCATTTCCCTTCTTTCTCCAAAATTTTGTTGATCTTGATTTCCGGAATTTGTCTTTCGTTCTGCTTAACTTTTTCTTCTATTTCCCGCTTGTCTTCTTGTAACGCATTTTCAAATTTGATTTCCAAGTTCTCTAGCTCCTTTTTATGATCGTTATTTATCTCCTTCATTTTATTTTGAATTTTTGTTTCTTGTTCTTTCATTTGATCTTTAATTCTCATTTCTTGCTGTCCCATCTCGTTCTTCATCATTGTCAAACATCCTTTTATTTCCTTTTCATACTTTTCTATGCATTCCTCCATTTTTTTGTTGGTTTCCTCTATGGCTTGTTTTGTTTCCTGTTGATTTTTATTTATTGTTTGTTTTGTTTCTTCCATTGTTTGTTTCATTTGTTTTTGTGATTCATCTATTTTCTTTGAGGTTTCTTGTTGATTTGTATCCATTTTTTGAGATTGTATTTGCATCAGTTGTAATATTTTCTCTAATTCTGATAATTCCTGACTTTGTCTCTCCATAATTGTTGTTTCAAAAATGTCTTCTTGTTCTTCTTCTTTTTTGTGCTCTTTACTTTTGCTTCTCGTTGCAGCCATTTGTTTATCTCTTGAAATATTATCCCCGCCAAATGCCAACTTTAAATTTCCTCGATTTGTGGCAAATACGGCAAATCCTCCCTTCATCCAAATATAAATATTCGTCAAAAATTTTCAAAATGTTATCAAACGTCAATCAAAAAAAAAATTAATAAATTGTTAGAAAATGTAAATTTAGATAAAAATTTTCAATGTCATAAGATTGTACCAAATTATTATTCACTTGACCAAAAAAAACTATAACCACCTGTTGTTTTTATTTTTCAAATTGTATTTCTTTCCAAATGTAACTAGTAATACTTTTTTATCAGCAATCACGTTCTGGCGCCAGTTGATGTGATTTGCTTATAATTATAAATCGACTTATATAGTCTGAAATGTAATACATTTATCTTTATCAAACAAATCAAAAGCAAAGAGTATCTCAGGGCTAAAAATAATTTTTATCTTTTTTTTTATTAAAAACGTTGCTTCAAAGTATCTTCTGCTAGTTCCATTTAAAAAAGATCAACAAAAGGGAAAAGAAATAATAGACAATCAATTCTGATATTAAAACAATTGTCCTTTATTTCAAAATATATCCAATTAATTTAAAATTCCATTGAGCATAAATGTTACACCATACACTATAAATATCATAAAAAAAAATAATCAATCATCCATCAAATCACGCATCCCTTAGTGCTCAATAAAAATTAAATACACATATTTCGAAATCAAATATCTCTTAATATAAAAATTTTAGAAAGAATTATTGGTTCCTTGACTTCTTGCCTTAACTATAAAAATATTTCAAATTACAAACAATTGACATGAATCTTGCTAGATGGTCGTGATAGAATGTCTTTATAGAATTTATTTAAAAAACTCAAAACTTTGGTTTTCAAACAGACTATCTTCCCTTGATTCTGCTTGGATTGTGCCCTGACCAGATCGCAATGTACTTCCCGGATCCTACCAATTTCCCTGCTCGCTATTTCGCCTACTGTTTCTTTTGATAATAAAAGAAAAAAAAAGAAGACAAACAGTATGTGAAAATGTCGTGATGTCTTTACCACAAGCTCCAAACTCCAAGACAAACAGACTGCTTCCTCTCAGACACAACGAAAATATATCTGTTTGTACTTACAGTAATGCCTCTATTTCTACTGGAAATCGTCTCTGCTTACCACAATGGCTGCTTAATTTTCCACAGAGACACTAAGCACTACTTTTTATCATCAATTCTCAAAAAACAATGTTTTCACCGCAAACGGTCTCTCTCGATGTTCAACTCACAATGTCTGTCTTTTTTCTCATTTCATTCCCGGCAAGCTTTTCACCCCCTTCTTCTTTATCCATTTCAAACCAATCCAAACAAAATTTTTGGTTTTTCCAAAAAAGTACCTGACGTTAAAATACTTTCCGGCAAACGACCTTGAATTCTTTTTAACTTTTGTAAAGGAGAAATCGCATTAACAAATAATCCTTACTTTATACTTTCTAATCTATTATACCTGCACATTTCAAATAGTTGTGTACTAAAACTACCTGGTCATGTCCAAACCGTATTGTCTTTTTATTGGAGAAAAACTTTCTATTTAGCTCACTTATTTACATATTCGGAAACCACTCACGTTGTTCCCGATAAATGGTTTATGATTTTACAACTAAACTATTTCTATATACAGGGTGTTCTCGATTTTTTTTATTGATTTTTTGATTTTTAATTTTATTTAAAATTTGGGGATCTTATTAATATTATATATATATATATATATATATATATATATATATATATATATAATATATATATATATATATATATATATATATATATAATATAAAGTAACAGCTAGTAGGAGATTTCAGGAAAAATAAATTAATCATCGGCAGGCAACCCTTACAGTCATACTAAACGTAGGACATAAACCATATTTCATAACCACAATAAAAGGAGATCATTGATATAACACTCGCAACGACTTATATGGCTAGAATGGTTAAACAATGGCATGTATCAGATAAGATGTTTTGTTCATACCATCGAAACATCTGTTTTAAAATGAACAGGTAATGACCCATTAAGGACATTTATCATAAATCGTCATACAACGAATTGGTAGATATATCAAGCAGACCTTGAATATTGTTTAGGCTGGCTTAAAAAAAACGATAGGGCATACATTGAAACTAAAGATGGCTGCTAAAAAATTTCAAGAGATTGTCATGTAATCATTCGAAGACAACTGCCCGGCGATAGTAAGAAATTTTAACAGGAAAGTAACTTGTGGTATAAAATTATCATCATCTTTGGCTCGACAATCCTCTGTGGATCTTGGCCTGCTCTAAGATTCGTCGCCATTCTGTTCGGTTTTTGGCAACATGTTGCCATCTTCTGATTTTTAATATTCGTAAGTCGGTTTCTACTCCATCTAACCACCTAATTCGCGGTCGGCCTTTGCTTCTTTTTCCTACAGGTGTTCCTGTGGTTAGCTTTTTAGCAATGGTATTTTCTGGCATTCAGCTGATACAATTCAAAATTATATCTTCTGCGCCACTGCACTTGGTCGTTTACAGCTCCAAATATTTTGCGGAGTATTTTACGCTCAAATATTCCCAAAAATTATAAAATTATAGCAAATTAAAATCCAAAGGTCCGACGACAATTAAATTTCGCCAAAAGATAATGTGATTAGAGCGACTATTGCCAAGTCCTATGGTTCTAGGGAAAACTGGCGTGTGACAAAAGAAAAGGTGAACCAAGATAACTATGTTAATGATAGCCAGGCGCACTCATAGAAAAACCCCACATGGAAAAATGTGGCGTTTAAAACCAGACATATTGGATTTATAAGATGGTGGTAGGACCAATAATTACATATTCATCAGTGGTATGTTGGGCAAAACACAAGCAAAAAGTGCCATCCTAAAATTAATTAAAAACTTTTCCATTTATTTTCACAGGGTGATAAAAGGGTTTTAGCTGGCCGTAATATTTTGGATTTTTGTGCCGTCTGCATTTTTAACAATTCTGGTAGCTAAATAGTTGCCAACTGTTGCCACGTTGCAGGCTGCCGAAGTTTCTTCCTACCTACCTTTTCATGGTTTGAAGGCTCTTTAACTTTTCTTTTCTTTAATGCGTTACCTGTTGTTATTTTAACTTGCCTTTCAGGTGGATTAAAAAGAGGATCTGCGATGCTGTCATCTGATCCATAAGGATCGGTTTTAGAATGTTGTGAACTGTTGTCTGTATCCGAAGTTGTGTTACTGCTAGATGATGACTTACTGCTTGATGATGAGTTACTGATTAAAGATGAGTCACTTATTGAAGATGAAGTACCTTTATCCATAACTTTTTAGGTAATTGAGTTTCTAAAAATAAGAATAATACCACTTATAATAATATTCACATTTTTAGTAACTTTAAAGCAGTGTATCTTTGTATTTTATCTTACCCAAAAAATTATTATTTCCATTGCCACATATGTCATCATTTGTCAGAATAGGGATGCTAAAGATTTTTTCAGATGAGTCTGTATTATTAATAAAATCTAAAATAATTATCTTTATACAAAAAATCCTTATTTTTTCGATCTAAATAAGAACTTACCGACAGGAGAATTTTGGAAAATCTTCCATCACCCACTTTGTTGTTGGTGTCGCCCAATGAATAACGTTCAGTAAATAAATGTCAAGTCCATACTGAAATATAACTGTATTTTCCATAGTCAACTCGTTAAATTCATTCCTTGTAATATATGATTATTGGCGATTATAAAAATAATCATCTTTAAACAATAGTGTTACATTTCACAAAACTACTTTTTCCATGCACTACATTGCTTCTATTTTATAATATATTGTCTAAAATAAAGTTACAACTAAGAAAGTAACTTATTATCACAACATACTATTCACTTTTAACGTTATACGTTTAAGAAAAATGGGTATATTTTTACTTATAACTCTATATACCAAAAATAATTGTATAAAAATAATATTACCTTTGAGAAAAATGCTCACAAATATCACCCTTTTAAATAAATTAACTTATCTTTTGTCAATTATATTCCAAGAGATAACTGTATTCTCTAAAATGAATAACGTTCAGTAAATAAAGGTCAAGTCCATACTGAAATATCAACTTTTTCTTTTTCATAGTCAACTAGTTAAATTCGGGGAATGACAAAAAAAAAATATTTTGAGATGTAACCCTATTTTTCCAAATGAACGATATGTATTTAGCACCTTCATATGGCGGGTTTTACTAAATATTATAATTTTTTGGATTATCTAATGATTTCGTGTGTACCTAAAACAAAAAAGTTTGAAGTCTCAATGATATAAATATTTAAATAAAATAAAGATTTTATCAGCACCATAAACTTTCAAAAATTGTTTGAATTATCTATCCTAACATAAAACAAACATTTTTTTAATAAATTTATTGTCTCTTGGGCTGCTCTGCTACAAAGATTTACATAAAGATGGCTAACAATTCCTTAGAATTATTACTCCACTTCCATCTTTCTTTGATTTATGTTCTTTGCGCTGTGTCCAAAGTATTTGAGGTAGACTGATTTATATATTGGTGCGAGGTTCTGTGTATGATACTAACAAATTTTTTTCTGTATGCCTACATTTTAAAAGTATTTGTGCGTCTTTCGGTTGATGATAAGGAAAGACTAATTTATTTAATAGTTTTAATTTTCTTTGGTAAGATAGTCTTTCCATATATTAGTTGGTGTTGTCTATTGTCAGCATATGTTTGTTTTCTTCATCGCAGTCTACTTTGTTTGTAATGAGGGATCCGACATAGTTAAACTTATTCATTTCAGAATTAGCAACTTTTTATATTGGACGGATGAGGGTTTATTATCATGTTTTGGATCATTTTTTATGTTCAGTATGAATTACCAGTTTTTGTACTACAGTTTTTTTTCTAAATAGGCTAATATATGGGTATCGTTTCTTTGGCCACCTATCGTTATTCTTCCTCTTCAGCCTTGCAAGACCACTTTGGTGTATTAGACGAAGAATAAATAAGTTTTAGTAAAATTAATTTCCTATGTTTTTTATTATTTTTTCTTGGTCATTTCACATTTGTAATCTCGTTCGCTTTCCAGACACATGAACTATGTTTATTCATCAGGTATATTTGGGAACAAGAAATGTTTTAAGCGCTAGTATATAATATAAAGTAGAATCTTAATTGTATGAGTTATAAGAGTTATTGTTCTGTAGTTGCTAGTTCTGCAGTTTGTATTTATTTTTTTTTTACGTACAACAGGTCGTTAAGGCCTAGGGCATTGTTTTACAACATAATCCTAATATTAACTAATTACAATTATTTTAAACAAAACTTTAATTTTAACTTTAACTTAAATATGTAAAGTAAAATTTGTATGTGAGCCCTTTTTTGCAATGATATATGTAAATTGACTCATTTTTATTCTATGGATTTAGTTATTTCGGCCGTTATGGCTATCTTTACTAAGTAATTGATTTTTAGTGATCGCAAAATATTTTCCACTTCTTTTAATAGAACTGACAATGTCATCTTTATATGACCAGAATATGGATCGTGATTTGTCAGTGATATTTAACGAGTTTCTATCAGTATTTCCTTCATACATCAGCAATATTGTTGGCAAATATTATTGTTTCTGTGTAATGCAATATCAGTTGTGTTTGTGGTGGTTTGAATTCTCTAGACAAATATTTTGAATAGTTTTTAAGTTCTTTCCTTACTTTATGTTCTTCCATTACTCCTTAATATACCTATTTTTTACATGTCTTTTATATTTCTTTGCCCAAAATTTTTACATGCCGTTTATATATCTTTTTGTAATACCAGATATGTGCAACAAGATATGAAGTTTCAAGAACAAGTTTCTACTCCTAGAGATAGCTAAAACAATGCGAATTTGTACAAGTGAAATGAACGCGTAAGCAGATATCGAAACATAATTAAAAAAGCAGGAGGAAACAATATAACAATGTGTCATGTAATATAACAATGGAATTTTTTTGTAGTATAATGAGATATATTACAGAGCCTAACTACCTAGTTAACTTTTATATAAGGAAAGTACTAGACGAATGAAATAAAGGAATCAATATAAGCTAATCACTAATACTAGCAGCAAATAAAGTCAAAATAACTATCATCATTGGACGACTAATGCAGATTAGCAAGGAATCTGAACCACAGATCAATATCTGAAATCTACCGCACATACCTCAAGTGGAGACCAAAATATGGCGATTGTTTTTCAGAAATTAGGCGTGGACTAACAATGGCTCTAATCCTTAAACTAATAAAAATAGTTAATTAGTCATAAATTAATTAAAAAATGAAATGGCCGAACAAAGAAGATAAGCTCAGATTGGCTAATGCGTTTTTGTATTGCTCTACATACGAAGCTTTATATGCACAGGATGGCTGTCAGTGACGTTAGCAAGCTAACAATATTTATGATGTCACCACACCTGATAAGGGCTCAAGGAATGAGGGAGAGGTCTGGGATTTTTCAGTTTTCTGGAGATATTGTTTTTGATACCATTTTGTTTACTTCTAGAGTCAATATTTTCTTCGTTTAACATTTGTTTTGTGACCAGCTTTAATTGCATCTAAGAATGAAGATAGAGAAATAAAGGTATTAATATTTATTAAAAACTACCACCAAGAGAAAAAAATAAGAAACGAAGATGTATTGAGAGACATTAATATTTAAAATATGGTTTAATATAACAGTTTATACCAGTTTTTTGCGCATACTTATTATATTGTCATCACTGTATTTACTACTATGCTTTAACTTTTAGCGTAATATGAATATTTTCTTACCTGCTCATTAGTTGGATCTCCTGTTGTTATAAAGGCTTATGTCAGTGTAAAATACTTTAAACTTGATTTTTTAATAAAATTAATAATTATTTCTTAAATTGCGGAGAAGTTACTTTTCGAAAGCCTCCTTATAAAAAACCATAATCTAATATATTGTATTTTTGGTCACATAATGTAATTTTAATCCTCCTTTTATATTAAAACATATTTAAGCAAATACAACCACAAATCAAAAACATTCCCATTAATATCTATTAGTAATTTACATTTACTTGATACATAATTTCTTAAATTCGCGTAACAGGTGTCCCAGATATTCTCAAGAGGTCAAGAGGCTCGCGTTAAAAATTACTATAGTCACTCAGTCTGTAGAAAACCAGTTGTTAAAACATTCATATAAAATCGTAGAAATCCGCAAAATATTCTCAGTTAATAATGTATCTTATACTACTCGTAGCGGTACTTTTAATCTTTAGTGTTATCGATGCGAAAGTGTACGATAGGTGTGAACTCGCGAAAGACCTTCAATATGTTTACGAATTTCCTAAAGAAGAGATATCTACATGGGTGTGTATAGTGCAACATGAATCTAACTTTAATACATCAGCAGTGAATCGTGGTTCCGGTGACCACGGTTTATTTCAGATTTCTCAGTTGTTTTGGTGTTCAGTCGATAACGTAGGTTTGGCCTGTAACGCTAACTGTGCTTCCTTCAGAGACAACGATATCAGCGATGACGTTAAATGTGTTAAGACAATTTTTAAAGAACACTCCAGAATATCTGGAAATGGTTTCAACGCTTGGACCGTCTACGGCTATTATTGTAAACGAGACACTAGTAAATATTTAGATGGCTGTCGTGAAATCGAAATAGATACAATAGGAAATATTTTAACTGAGGACACTTTGGAATTAGATGAAGATGGATACCACTTTCCTACACTTCCACTCATACCTAAAATATACAATCGCTGTGAACTTGCTAAGGAATTAAAAGATGTTCATCAAGTACCAACAGAAGAGTTGTCTACGTGGATATGTATAGCACATCATGAATCTAGTTTTAACACTTCAGCGAATAATAAAGGAAGTGGTGATCATGGTATCTTCCAAATTTCAGAGCTTTATTGGTGTTCAAAGTTTATTAAAGCAGGAGGTTGTAACGCAAAATGTTCTCAGTTTAGAGATACTGATATAACAGATGATATTAGTTGTGCTAGAACAATATTTAATAAACAAAAAGCCATAACTGGTGATGGATTTACAGCTTGGAGTATTTATCCGCAATATTGCAAAGGAGATACGAAGAAATATATCGGTGGATGCCCAGGAGTTGATGAAACACTTACAATAAATAAACAGAGCAAAACGCTTGATATTTTAAAACCCGCGCTTATTTCAAAAATTTATAATAGATGTGAATTGGCCAGAGAGTTGAAGTATAAACATAATGTTCCTGACGAACAAATCTCCAAATGGGTATGTATAGCAGAACGAGAGTCCAACTTGAATACTTCTTCTCTAGGCAACGGAGATCACGGTATTTTTCAAATATCCGAACAATATTGGTGCTCTCCGTATGGAAAAGGTTCCGGTTGTAATGCATTTTGTGGCGATTTTAGAGATCATGATCTCACCGATGATGTTGCTTGTATTGAAATAATATTTAACGAACACGTAGGAATATCAGGAGATGGCTTTAATGCTTGGGCTGTTTATCCCTTTTATTGTAAAGGAGATACTTCGTTTTATACTTCAAATTGTTTTAAAGGAGATGATAATTCGCTTATTCTACAGTCTAAACAACAATCCTTATATCCTTTTTCCCAAAGAATTACTTCAAAAAATAATATTATATCAAATGTTGAAGGTGACATAAATCTATCTACTAAAATAGAAACAAACCACCGTTCTAGTACTAGTAACAATAAAAGATTATACGATAACACTTTTTCCTCATTTACAAATCCAGCTAAATTTGATGACCTGATTACCAGCGAAAGTATATCAAGATTGGTTTCCACTACTCCTGATATTATAAAATCTTCGAATAATTCATATGCATATTTAACCTCAAAATCAACAGAAGATAAAATCATTTTAAAACTAGAGCCTGATTCTAAAGATTTATCAAATGGAACAGAATCTGCTAAAAGAACATTAGGTTTATACAGTTTAGTTAAAAAATCATCCTTATCTGATTTTTCAAACGATTCAATTAGAAATACGCCAAATTCACGGCAAACAGCTAGGCAAATGAATACAAGACCTAGACCATCTATGTCACGTATACTATTGGATCCTTATACAGGCCAACCTTTCGAGAGACAAAGACCTCATCGTCCACCAGGTCCACCAAGACCTCCAGGACCACAGCGACCAGCAATGCCAGGTCCATTAAGACCACAAGGACCTGCCAGACCTCAAGCACCTTCAAGACCCCAAGTACCTCCACGACCTCCACCAGCCCGACCTTCCGGTTCACGGCCAAGACCTCCTCTACCTCCTCTTACGACGTTAAGACCTTTTAGCTGGAACAACTTACCCGGTGTGATCTTTACTTTATGGCCTAGCTCTACTACAGGACCTGTGTCGACTTCGGTGTATTCTACAACCCCTAAACAATCTTTGTATTCTACGGAAACAACAAAATTAACTGAAGCTACAAAATCAGCTAAAATGTTTGGTATTATTACTGATTCTAATACACAAACTGTTCGTGCAACAAAACGGGAACCTAAGTTAGGGGCTATCAATGTTCCTGGATATATATATTCTACAACACCCGATGGATTTGAACTAATTCCAAATAAAAAAGTGTAGTATTTAAGAAAGCGTTAAGTAGTTACTTAGAAACTAAATAGACTGAGTTACTTTTAATGACGTTAGTTAATGACTTTTGCGTATGTATTCAAGGTGGTCCTGTGATGGTATCTTTTCCTCATTTGTTGTATGGAGATAAGGAATACCAGGAAACCATTATGGGCATGGAAGCAAATGCATTGAAGCACCAGTCATTTATTATTTTAGAAGAGGTAAGATTTTTAAAATAGTCTGATTTTTTTTTAATTTTGTTATTTTTAAACATATATTTAATATCATTTCTTATTATAATAATCTTAAGAATAGTACAAGATCCCTCTGCAGGATCATTAAGTTCATAACGTACTTCATTAAACTCACATTTTTACATACATATAAAACTACGATAATACATTGATAATAGGTTGCTAGTCAAAAAGTGGCCGCAAATATTTTTAATTCAGATTATATTAAATATAGACTATAAGCCCATGGGACATTTTAGGGGTCATTTGACCCAATATGAATCATATATAAGTCAATACTACAATAAGTAATAACAACTTTATAAAGTATGCCGTCAATTTTTATCGGTGGTGATTATACTGGTAAGTTAGGTTTAATACTGAAGAGGGAGGCATTTTGATCAAACATATTTGTACAGCATTTATAAGTTACGTGGTAATAAAAAATAATGACCTGCGACTTAATGCCGTACAAAAATATTGGAACCAGCAGCAGGGCAATCTTCGATTTTCGGAAAATTTTGACCCCATTTTCGGTAATTTGATACAGTACGGCATTCATACATATAGTGTTGTGTCGTTATTTAGATTACTTTTTGCAGTGCGGTACATATCGGTTGGTAGAGAGGTGAAAATCTAGGGCGCACTCCTCTATTTCTATGTAGTACAAGGCAGGTTTAAATTTAGTTGCATAAAATAATAACATTTTTGGACATGCCATATATTTTTAAGGGTAGGTACTTGTGTTTATGAGACTAAAATTAGTTTCTCTCTGTTAAGTGGGATATTGCGATCAAAAATTTCCGTACAGCATTAATAAAATGCCGTACCGAAAATATAGTTCAAATGGCGTTAAAAATATTATAGTCTAGGTTGTGAGGCCGCGTAAGAAAAATCAACAATTTTTTAAAACTAATTTCCAAAAATCGCTCGTTTTGTTTGGAAAAATATTTTTTAGGTTTCGAGGTTGGAAAACTCATATGAAAATTATTATTTTTTAGGTTGTTAACTGCCTAAATAAAAGAGCATTTTTGAGCAGTCTATTAAGTTTTGTTCTTTTCATTACCAAGAAATTTATCTAAGATAATTAATAATAAGTTTTGTGTTGGCGGAAAGGGTCGATAATAAATTAGTAATATCATATGTAGAAATAATGTTAAGAAAGTTGATGAAATAATTTGTAGTAAAATTGATTCTTTACAAAAGCGTCTATATATTTACTTGATGCCATTTTATTGTAAAATGATTAAAAAAAAGTTTAAGACCAAAAAGAAATTTAAATTTTAGATATTTTTGTTAACTTTTTTGTTTTTCATTTTACACTTTTTTGTTTTTTCTTTTTTTTTAATTTTTATTTTATACCATTTATTATAGCGAGCTATGAATTAGTTTGATAGTTTTTAGTTATATTTCGTCAAAAAATTATCTACCGTACAAGAACTAACTACCTTACCAAAAAAAAAAACAAGATTTCTATTTTCAAACACAAATAACTGTCTACAAACATTTGCAAGAACTATAGATTTTAGAAAAAATCTTTTACGCATTTTAAGTATTCATTTTAATTTGATGCCGTACATTTTTCAATGACCTCAACGAATAGGGGTTAAAATCAAGGGTTGCGCCTTAGATAAGTAATCAAAATAACGATTCGAAACTATGTGTATGAATGCCGTACTATATCAAATTACCAAAAATGGGTTCAAAATTTTCTGAAAATCGAAGATTGTCTCTGCTACTGGTAGCAATATTTTTGTACAGCATTAAGTATCATGTCCTTATTTTTGTATTACCTACCTAAGATATAAATGCTCTACAAATGTAGTTGACCAAAATGATCCCCTCTTAAGTGGTAATTTGAACCAATGCAGTCACCTGTACCGATACGGCATAGTTTTTAAAGTTGTTATTACATAATATTATAGTATTGATTTATATGTGAATTATACTGGGTCAAAGGACCCCTTTAAAATGCCCAGGGGCTTGTAGTTTATTAGTTTTTGACAAATATTTTATTTCGTTCCTTTATTTTTTAAATAAAATACGCTGCTCAAGACGTATATGCATGTTTTTTTTTATATCAAATTAAAGCTTATTTTTTTCTTTATATGATGATGTAAAATTGACTGAGAAAAAATGGTCACAAATTGGGGTTGCCAGTTGTTAAAGACGCGAATTATCAAAGATAAAGTAACCTAGAGTTAGAGAGCAACGACACAAGTAATTTTTTTTATTGGGAATAACCCGCATCAACCATAGAAGGTTATTAGCGGTGGTACAATACAGACTAAAATATATTATAATAATTAATATAAAATATTAACGTATAAAGCTTTTACAAAGTTGAATTATTATAATTTAGAATTTTTCTTGAAGTATCACTTATATTTGATTATACAATTTCGTTTTCTTTAAAAACCTAATGATTTTGTTACAATTCGCACTGTCTAAAGCGTACTTTATATCACTTGGTAGTCCAGTAGCTTGTCTTTCCATTTGATATAATGGACAGTCTATAACAATGTGGCCTACAGTTATATTGGTGTCACAGGCGTAGCATATTCTAGGAGGTTCCTTAGGTGTTCGTGCGTCAGTCTGGTATGTCCTATTCGGATACGATGTAGTACAAACTGGTCCATTCGCTTTACTAAAATTGATATTTTCGCTGATATCTGGGTTTAATTACCGTAATTTATTATTTGGTAAGAATTGCCATTTTCATAACCATAAGTGTTTTGTGTACTCATTAACATATTTTTCATATCTGAGTGAGGAATTTGGTTAGTTCTATCATCGGATCTCTCCATTTTACAAGCTTCTTTGGCCATTTGATCAGCTATCTCATTTCCTAGTATGACCACATGAGATGGTATCCACACAATATGTAGTTGTTTATGATTATTTTGTAGAGTCACAAGGTGTTTTTTAGTCTGTTCTAAAATCGGATGATTCGGATATATTTTCTGAATTCCCTGGATTGCACTTAAGGAATCTGTAAATATTACTCTCATGTCTTCAGGTCGATTAAGAGTTTGTTGTACTGCTTTGGATATCGCAAAAAGTTCAGCAGAATATATTGAGTAGTCCTTAGGTAGTGGAAACTTGAGCACAGTTCGGGTGTTTTTGATACATCCATATAAACTAGTTATTATATTATGTTATATATAATATTTATTTTTAATATTGTAGAAGTATCGGAGAAAAAGAGATGAAAGGGTCCTGTAATATGGAACTTGTATAGTCCATGGGGATAATAAATTGGATCACCGGAAATGTGAAATTGCTAATTCTTTTGCTAAATGGTGGTCGAAGATTAGGATTTTGATTGTTATTTGAAGGGTAACGTATGGAAAAAGCATAGTGGTAGGCTGGGTTGTTTGGATTAGTTGATAGCTTGCTTGCGTATTGTAAACTGAGACGTAATCTTCTAATAGAAAGTGGAGATTAATTTGCTTCGACATAAAGACTTTCAACTGGTCTGGTTCTGTAGGCTGCTAGAGCTAGTCTTAGTGCGGTATTTTGTACAATATCTAATTTTTTAATATTGAGTTCTTAGCTGAATTATATACAATTAATCAATGATCTAATTTACTGCGGATTAGGGATTTGTAAATATTTAGTAGCTGTGTTGTGTCTGCACCCCAGTTATAATTTGCTTGTAGTTTAAGAATATTTATGTTCTGTAAACGTGATTTTTAAGTAATTGAATATGTTTGTTCCAAGCAAATTTTGAATCAAAAATCATACCTAGAAATCTCCTCAACATTTTCTAAAATTGATCATACAGTTTTAGTTTTGGAAGATTTGCAACAATTTAATGTTTTCGAGAAAACCACATTACATTGGTTTTAACCGTAGAAAATTTCAGTCCTGTTGTTTTAGACCATTCTTGTAGATAATTAATAGAAAGTTGAATAACCTTTAATGCCATATTAAGATTCCTACGAAAAATATAGATTACGAGGTCATCTGCATATAGGATTGCTTTAACAGGGTTTCGAATACTGTTCTAGATATCGTTAATTGCAACAAAAAAGAGTATTTCGCTTAGCGTAGATCCTTGGGGTATGCGATTTTCTTGTGTATAGGATTCTGAAAGTTCCTGATTTGATTTGACCATATAGTATCATAAGCTTTAATTATATCAAAGAAGGCAGCTATAACTTGTCTATTAGTTGCAAATGCCTCATTAACTGCCGATACTAGCGACACTAAATTGTCAGTTGTGCTTCTATTTTTCCTAAAGCCGCTTTGCTGATTACCTATTAGATATTTTTATTCTAAAAAGAATTGTAACCGTTTATTTAAAATTTTTTCTAGTAATTTACATAAGGAAGATGTTAAGGATACGGGTCTATAAGCTTCCTAGTTTGATTTGTTTTTGTTAGGTTTTAAAAGAGTAATTATTGTAGCGGTACTCCAAGATTTAGGAAATTGCTTAGTCGAAAATAAAAAATTGAATATATCTAAGAGTGGATAGAGTTTAGCAGATAAAGGAAGATTAATTAAAAACAATGGAATTTCATCTGGCCCAGGGCTAAAGGTTTTAAGTCCTTGTAATGCTTCGTTTAGTTATTGCATACTTATTGTAACATTTAGACTGATAGAGTCTGTAATTTTGACCTCTTTTTCTATTTTCTTTTTGTTTTGGACAAATAATGGGTCATGTACGGAATCACTTGAACATCTCTGAAATGAGTTCGCTAAAGCGTTGGCTATTTCACTGTTGTTTGTAATTAAGTTACCCTCAATGTCAAGAGAGTTAATTTTGTTGCTGTATGAAATGCCTTTAATCCTACGGATTTTATTCGAGATCTCTGATGCAGGAGTATTTTCGGTTATTATGAAAACATAATTTTGCCATGATTCACGTTTACTTTTCTTAATTACATACCTTGCATAGGCTCTATATTTTTTAAAAGCTGTTATGTTTTCCGGTGTATGATGTTATTTAATACATTAAATGCATGCTTACTTTGTTTAAGTGC